CAGTCCTCCCACAAACTTTTTTTTAAAATTAATTAATTTAATTTTGTATATACATTCAATCACATTGTTTAGCTTACAATGTGAGCATTTCAATATGTGAACATTTCTCCCCAGTCCTGTTGATCAAAATATCTTCAACCGATAACACCACACCTCCCCATCCGTCAATGCTCTACCTCTGTATCCCTTCTCCAAATGTCCTTCATTAGGCCCCACTCCTCCACATACACCTCATCTGCCATCCACAGCCATTTCTTGTGTTTGTACAACCATTAGTCAATCAGTTTCAGTCATAGAGTGCAGACATTCAGTATATGCTAAATGGGGACATACAATGTCTCTCCTTCATAGCCTGGCTTGCCTCACTCAGCAGTAAATCTTCCATATTCTTCCACTTTCTGTCAAAAGCCAGGGTTTTGTTGTTTTTTTTATGGCTGAGTAGTATTCCATAGAGTATATGTGCCACAGTTTTTCAATCCATTCCTCTATATGGGGGCATTTGGGTTGGTTCCATGACTTAGCAATTATGAATAGTGCCGCAATAAACATCGATGTGCAAGCATTTTTCCAATGAAGAATTCTTCTGTCCTTTGGGTAGATACCAAGGAGTGGGATTGCTGGATCATATGGTAGTATTTATTTATTTAGAGAGACAGGGACCATTGATAAAGTCTTAGGTCGCAATCCTCTCCCAGCCTTCCCAGCCAGCTAGGATCACAGGCACACAAATGTGTCGGGTTGACCTGGAAACTAAACCCCAATCTCACATATGGCTTCCAACATTACAGAGCCGGGCCTGTCTCTGCATTCTTAAAGTAACATTCACAACTTGCACAGTTAACACTAACATTTATTTTTTGCCTTAGTCCTTAGCTATTCTCCATATCCTCTTTACTGCAGCTTAACCAGACTTCTTTGTGCCCACAAATATGGACTATCCTTCAGTTCCTTTGTACACACTGTTCTATTCATCTGGAATTACCTCCCTAATTTCTTTTTTTGTAACTTTGTTCCCTTCCATCTGCTTATGCCCAACCAAGTCCCGTCCTCTCTCTCACACAGGTATTCCTGTGCAGAGTACTTATTCATGGCTATATCTTGTGTTTCCCACTAGGTTAAAAGCTCCTTGAGAGCAGGGACCATGTAACACACAGTTTGCTGACTATAGGAAATATAGTATGCTCCAAAATTATTCATTGTATATAGGACTAAATGGCACCCTGGTTTCTGTGTATTCCTGGTAGTTTCAGGATTTTAGAAGTTGTGGAGGGATGTGAGGTTTGTGAACATGCCAAATGTCAGAACCACCCTACTTTCCGGAAATCTCAGCCCCACAATGTTCGTGCCACCTGTGGTATTTTGAGGTGATTACAGAGGCTCCCGTTGGCACTTGTGTTTAGTACATTGTGACAAAGGTACTGTCTGGGCTTTATCAGCAATCCTTAGATAGCCTTTGAGGGGAGTACCTATTTTATCACCTCCCAAATTCACTCCTTGGGAGCCTCAGGGCTGACTTGCATTGGTAAAGCAATTTGTGAGCATTTCCTTTCCTTGGGATATTCAGCCAACACCCAGAACAAGACAATACATTGATGATGCAAGTTCTGATCTCAGTCCTATTGGCAAAGAAATTCACTAGACATGTACTGTGCCCTATGTGATTTTTCACTGGTTGATCCAGGCCAGGTACAGCATAAGTAAATAAGGTCTTGGTTTAGCATTTTAGCTCTTGGGTGTCAGATCCTGCCAGGAGAGAGGAAAAATAGCCAAGGAAGAAACTATCACTCTGTAATTATCTTGAAACTAAAAACAAACGGGTGCCTTTGGCAGGCCTGTACTTTCTGTCCTTTATCCTTTGTCCTCTGTGGTGAGTCTAGTTCAGGCAGAACCATGATACCACTGTCCAAAGGGATGGGTAGGACTAATTCACAGGGAGGTTCAGGGGACTGGCTTGGAAGCCAAGACCAGAGATTAGGTGCTCTCAGCACACCTCCCCGTGGGAGCAGTTTGTAAACACCCCCACATACCTGCCTTTCCTTGGGGTCACTACTGCTAAGACCCCAGAACAGAGCACCTTCTCCCTCCTATAATGTCTTAAACTGCTAATGGGTATAGAGCCTCTTTACGAGCTGATGAAACGATCTGGAATTAGGCAATGGTGATGGGTATACAACTTTTGAATAAACTAAAAATCACTGAATTATATGCTTTGAAAGGGTGAATTTATGATATGTGAACTATATCTCAATTTCAAAAGAAGTCATAGGATACTAAGACCTCATACAAAAAAATGCAATATTGCAGCATCAACACTCCAAAAAGACCACATGACCTTTTTCCTCAAGTGTTTCCTCTCTGTGCATGTTCCAAGGTTGTGTCATTGGTGCATGTATTAGAGGTCAAGAGGTTCTAATAGTTCATTCCTCTCAGTCGCTGTTCTGTGTCAGACTGGGGTGACCTTGGTCCAGGTACTTCCTCGTCTTTGCTTCCACAGTTAAAACAGAGGTAATGAGCCTGACCTAGTTGATGAGGATCCCCTGGGAAATAGAAATCCGGTTTGCTAAGCGATTTAGAAGTATGAGGTGCTAGATCCTTCCGAATAGTTACAGGAAGGGCTGAGCAGCTGAGATGTGTGTGGAATAAATCCCTGGCAGAGTTGGAGCGGGTGCGAGCAGGGGGCTGGCTGTGTGTCACTCTGGGTGATTTAATGATGCCATTAGGTACTCTATTAGGAACTGGACTGCTTGTGATTTGTATGTTCAGGAGACAAGGTTTGGTTTCTTCTGCAATGAGAGGACAGGACTTGGGGGAAGGGTGTTTCCCAAGAGGAGTCTTCTGGTGCAGCCAGGAGTAGTAGTTGGGCGGATAAGTGCCCGGTGGGGTTGGTAATGGTGGGCCTGAGCTGAAGTGTCACACAGCTGCTCCTGCTCTAAGCAAACACCCTGGAGATTGCCCAGGGTTTCTCCCTTCTTGAAAATTGGAAAAACCTCCTTAAAGGAAAGGTGAACTTAAGCCTATGTCTCTGCCTCACTTAACAAATGGGACTGTGTCTGTGGAAAACCTGGGATGGGGTGCAGGAGGTCTCTTCTCATGCACTCTCCCCACTGAAGCTTCCTGGCTATCTGTGCCTGTCACATCATCTTACCAATCCAGCAGACAACTGAGTCCTGCAGACAGTTAGGGAGAGGGGGTAAGTATAAAGGGTGTTTTGACTATTTTGTCTTGGCAGTAGCTCCTAACCCCCCCTCACATTCTTGAGGTCATGCTTCTCCCTGGCCTGTGGGGTGACAGGACAAGATAGGAAATCCTATCCTGTCTTTCAGGGACAGGCTAATGATCAATGGCTCAAACAAAACTTTCTCACCAAACTACCCTGAGGGGGCCATCTTCTTTCTCCTCCTTATTCTCCTCTTAGAGCCTGAACATCCTTTCCCTGGCTCTCTGCATCTTGGAAGAACATCTGCTCACCTTCGAGACCTAGCATTAGTTTCATCTTCCCCTGAGATGACCACTTTTACTCCCCTGCCGCCACCCCCTGCTCAGGCCAGAGTCCATCTTTCCTACTATGTTTCCCACCACTCTTTGCTCTGTACCTGGTATAATACTTCCAAACTGCCTCACAGAAGGCTCTTTCAAAGAACCTGCAGAGGCCCATATTGAGATAGTGTCTGAGAGCCCAGAATAGGGCCTACTGCATGATACAAACCCAGTGTATGTCTTCTGAATAAATGAATGAATAAAAAAAAAAAACATCATTTGTGCCTTCTCACAAATAGTGAAAGGTATTTAAAAACTCCATAAATATTTAAAATTGCTTTCCTCTTTATGGTTTTGGTACTTGATGAGAACACATTCTAAATATGTCTTATTAAATCTTTTTTATGTCTATGCAATTTTTTTTTCTTTTGGTCAAAGGTGGTAAATTTCAGGAGCAGAAACCATGACTTTACACAACAAACAAACAAAATGTTATAAAGCAATGGTTTGTTAAAGTGTGCTTAGCAGGATACTAGTTCCCTAGTGTGGTAATAGTTGTTAAGGAAAAAATGTACTGGGGGCTAATTAAGTTTGAGAACAGTTGGGTTAACCAGGTGTGTCTACTGTGGGATGTGTCAAAGCTTTGCTCTACTATTTCTTAGGCATATAAGAGAGAGAGGGACTTCCACTGTGTGTTTTTGCAATACCAGCTTAGCACCTACTACAGTGTAAAGGGCATAGTAGGTTTTCAGTGTTTTGCTATTAACCTCCCCCTCCCCTCACATTCTTGATGGTAATCCAGTTCCTTGACTCAGAGCCTGGAGAGGCAGGTGAGTGTTTATGGCCATGATAGGGCCAATTCTTTACCACCCTCCTCATGTACACCACCTTTGCTCTGCAAAGCAGAAGAGAAAAATTAAAGGGAATTAAAACATTACTTTACCTGTCACAGTAAGCCATCAAACATCTCCAGTGGACTATGCAGCAAATGATTGTGGTTTTAGAAATAACCTGTCGGCCCCAGCTGCTCTGCAGTAACCTCCCAGGACTATTTCATAAATGCCAGTTCTCTGCACAGCAATTACCAACTCTCTCCTCAGTAGATTCACTGGTGTGTCTAGGAGTAATTGCGGGGGAACTCACGCTTTCAAATTTACAAGAGGCAAACAACCTTGTATTTACCTCGGGGGGTTATCAGGTATTCAAACTGTGCTGTGTAAAGGATGCTATTGATCATAGAAATAAGCGGAAGAACTTGAATTTTCACCTTGGTATTTTTCTCAATGGGTGAGAGCCTAACTCACTAGATTCATGGTGGAAAGACCTATGGAGGATAATATTCTTCCTCTCAGGGTCTCTTCCCTTCTGTGAGGTTTAGAGCAGCAGGTAGTCTGACCTATTACACTTAGAGTTCTTGGTTGCCTTCAAATAACTCTGGCTAATTGGTACCTGTGACTGGGAAGAAGATGAAAACCTTGGTCCAGTCCAAATTCTCATCTATGTCTTTGATGTTTTTTCTCTAGAGATCTCAGGAAACACAGAGGACATCCCTCTGGTGCGTTGGAGGCAGCAATGGCTGGAAAATGGCACTTTGCTTTTTCACATCCATCACCAAGATGGTGCCCCAAGTCTCCCTGGACAAGACCCAACCGAAGAACCCCAGCATGAGTCAGCAGAAGAGGAGCTGAGGATACTCCACATCTCTGTCATGGTAAGAGCCATAGAACTTAGTGTTTTGGGCCACACCACCTTGGCATTAAGAGTCTTGGTGCCATAGATGTGTCTTTATAAAACTTAACTCTAGGGGGCCAGCAGATGGCATGGTGGTTGAGGTCTTGGACTCACACATGGCAAACTGTGGTTCAAGTCCCAGACTAGGCGGCTTGCTTTCTCACTTTCTCTCTCTGTTTCTCTCTGGTGAATGCACATGCCCTATAGCAAATTGAATAATAATAATAATAATAATAATTACATAAAATTAAATAGTTATTTAAAAAAAAAA